ATGTGGCAAGGTTCAAGCGAAAGAGGAAAATTCATCGCTTTTACGTCTGGTAAAAAGAGATCATGGATAAAATTCCACGCGTGAAGATTACTGAAGAACAGAAAAACATTCTGAAATCATTTCATGAAAATGGAATGATTTCTACCAAGCGGGAAATGGGTAGTGTAATAGTAGGCCCGTGTTTGTTGGTTTCACATATACCTTGGTTTCAATCCGAGGTGCATGGTTGAGTAGTTCGGTGCCAAGGAAAGGAAGCTTGCTGTTCTTCTCCACCTCCATGGTGAATTTGACCGAAATTGAATGAAAAAAAAAAATCCATGCATGCCAATTAACCCTGAAACATATCCATGCTATGGCCAAAAACATTCATACGAGAAATGATAACGAAAACAATTCCCGCATTTCGAAATCTCCCCACCCCTCCCCCATCCAGTAACTTTTGACGCATTACCCGGGCACTCTGACCAGGCGTTGTTTAGTAGACGCAGCGATAAAGTCCTTTGGCAAACTACAGATTCTTATTTCGCAAAGGACAGATTTTCCATTTCGTTTCTTGGCTCATATAGCACGACAGGTCGACGTTGCCAGCCAAAGAACCTGGACGCGGACAGTGGACGTGATGTTCAAGATCGCATTTGAACTCAAGTCAAAGAACTAGCTTGCCTTGTTTTCGTAACAACGTCAACATCCGGTCTCAAGCAATGCGATGACTCGTATTTTCTATTGCCAAGAAAAAGAAGTAAGGGACCCTCGACTAGGAACATGGGTTTGAATAAATTATTTTTGCACGTGATGCACACACTTTTCTTCTGCATAATTATGACAAGCTATGTCGTATTTTTTTCATGTATATTATTAGTACATAATCACATGATTATTCTTGTGCAATTTGGAATAAATAAGCACTGTTAAATTTTTTCAAAGACCAGAAATTGCACTTGCCCTACGGGCTCATGCAATTTTGTTAGTCCTTGAAAAATTTCCTCATGCTTATTTACCCAAATTGCACTTGAAGTCATGTGATTATATATACAAATAAAATACGCAGATACCGTATTTTATTGGCTATAAGCCGAGCCCCTAAACTTTTAACTCTTAAACTTAATTCAATCATCTTCAAAAATATACACAAAATATTCAGCTATAAGCTGAGACCCAGTTCTTAAAACGTATAAGAGCTCATGAAAAATTTTAATCACATTTAGCTTTTAAAATCTGTTAAAATGAAATGAAAGAACGGGATAATTATCCCACGCCGCATATATAGCGTGCGACCAATGTTCACTTGTGAACAACCCGCAAAAAAGGAAGTAATTAATGGCAAACAGGTGACTGAAAAGACTGACCCAAATTGTCCAACTTCGACCACGCCTTTGCAATCAATGAGTTTCAGCCATCGGGAACAACAGTACTATTTCTTTCACCGTAATTTTCTTCACATGTGGTTTTGATGTTCAAGACTGAATATTTGGATAGCATGATAAGAAAGACCAACAAACATTCAACGATAAAATTTGCCACTTCTGCAATGTTTTCCCATCAAAGGATACCAATATTCAGTGAATCAGACTTACACAATTCATCGGGATGGTAGGCCTGTTGGGTGGCAGCCAGCGACAAGCCATCCTAAGATCAAAATGAAAAATGGTAAATAAAACAAATAAAAAAAAACTCAAATACCTATACCTTACAAAACTCTAATAACTCAAAACGCTCCAATAACCACATCTTGGTAGGAGTCTTTTCTCAAAGAATGATAGCAAATAATTGATTTACTCAAATCAGTTTTTGCAGATAAGATGGTTTATGCAAGAAACTGGACGATGTCAAACATTACTGGCAAAACTGAATGTTGTCTTCATGATGATGTTCATTTGTTGGCGCCTTGGACCTGGAACATTACTATGTTATCGTACTCTGTCTTCTAAGAAACCAAAACTTTTTGTCAAGCTGGGAGGATTAGGTAAGTATTTAATAAGCTGGGATTGGTTTTTTTTTATTAGATTTGCTAAGAAAAGATTTATGAGTCAAGGTCACGAGAAATAGAACCTAAATTATTTTAATTGTGAAAATTGAGGTAATACATAATGCTCTTTATTCAAGGCTCTCCTTCCATTTTGTAACAATTCTATGTAAGACTAACACACCATTGAGTCAGGGAGGTTACTAAAACCATAGGCAGCAGAGCAGGGGCTCCTTCAAACAAAACTTTGGAGGGACACAGCCCACATCCCCACATTTTTGTGCCGAAAATATTGCTAGCACAGCATAAAAAATGGTAACATTTTCATTCTTGTGATCTTTTCAAAAACCTTTATACAAGCATTGTGAAACTTCTTTTGAACAGCTTCCACCTGTTTAGAGAAGCTTATCAACTGCAGAAATTTTCTTCGTGTCTAGGAAATTAGACACTATTATTTTGATACCGTACTATCAAATTTTCTTTACTGTTTNGTAATAGAACTTTAAATGTCGCCTAAGCGAGACAACGAGCATCCCAGTCCTTTTTATATAGGAGTCCCCCCGGGATGATTGGTCGGTCAGTTCAAATTGAACGTTGTGCACGGTTACGTCAAAAAAGCCAACAGAAATTGGACGAATGGTTCCCCAACCATTCCACTTCAATTAATTACGCTCATATAGGGGTACAAAGGAAGAAATTAAGAGAATAATTTAACGATACTTATGATTTACGTTTTTTTTATTTGTTACAATTTAATTACAGTTGCGAATCATTGTATCCCGAAATGACTTAAGACATAACAAAATGTCGAAGTTGGAATTTGGAATTAATGCAATTCAAAATTATGTTTACCCTCGATTAAAAACCAGATTAATATAAATTATACAATATTGATATATTTCTGTAACTTGGGAGAACACACATGTTCAAAATTAATGACTCAACGGAGTCTAAGAGAGAGCTCTCTTCGAGTGTCCATGGTCCGAGCTGCAAATTATATCCCCTTAGCTGACTTTGATGCTCTCTGAATCCCTGGATTGTTGCCTACAATTGTTGTCCTTTGTTATTCTTCTGTCATTGTAAAAGTTTAGCAGTAAAAAATCTTGTTTAATTTGGTTGGATTTTTTTTGACAAAAACTTTTTTAAGAGGTATAGGATTTTGGTTCTTGCTGCTGGTTTCCTGTTGCTTCCAGTTTGCAAGGAAAATTTTGCCCCTCCCCCCACCCTTAACCTTTTCTTTCTTGTCAAGTACATGAGGCCTTCTTTCTATGCAGTTAACTACATTCAAAATCATGTAAATTAAAGATCTTTATAATTATTTGAAAGCATGCGACATAAAGATCCTTTTAATTATTCTCCTCCTGATCTTTCACAGAAGACTACAAATTAAAAGAAACAACTTTCTTAAAATCTCTCAGCTTGGTTAAGTTCCAACAAGCTTGCATACAAAAAGAAATTGTTATTTGTGTTGTTAATAACATACAACACTAATTACTGAATAAAAGCCACTTCGCTTAAAATATGTCTGCTACAGGGAGTTGAGTCTTGGGCCAGTTTTTTTTTTCTTGTTGTTGTTTAATTAGGAACCAAGAGGACAAAGGTCTGGGTGACAATGCCAAACTGGATACTCTGTGACATGCATCTCCCCATGAGCATTCTCATTCTGAGACCAGACAAATGAAATATTAGAGAAAGATTTTCTTTTTTATCTTCTCATTATTGTGGAAAAAAGAAGGAAAAATGAGTCCTCATGAGTAGTCAAGAGGTAGAGCTTTGGATTCTGCAGCTCCATGCTCTATCACTAAGCCAACAATACATGTATAATTTTCCATTGTGTTGCACTTGCTCAAAAGTCAAATTAATCACAGCAAGCAACCAATGTAAAATAGAATTTTATGGCAAATTAATGATTACGTAAAGTCAACTAAGTTAAAAGCTGGGATTATGTGTATGTAAGGCAGCTTTGGGTCTACATGTTAACCAAGTGTCAGTTGATACCCTCGTCAGCTGATACAAGAAGTTTATAACCCCGTTTTAGGTCAAAAGCTCTTGCTGATAATAAATCCAAGTTGTTGGTAATGTATCAGCCAAGTTTTAGCCGCATGTATCATTTATTGTACATGGCGTGCCGTAAGTGGCAAAATTTAAACTCATACTGGGCCATAGTATGCAGATTTACTTTTCTGCTGTAATATTGCATGAGGCAGATTATCCTTAATTTTACTAATTATCCATTTTCAACATTTCTTTTACATGGAAATATAGCTCTATACCCGTGGTTGTGGAATTCTGGTTATTCACTGTTTCAGATTTTAAATTTATTTATTTTTCAACTTCTATTTCAACTCTTGGCAAAGTTACCAGCTGCTGTCAAATATTTGTTTTTGCACGCCATCATTTTCTCAACTTCATTGGAAACTGATACGAGAAACCGAGGCAGGAAAATGAAAAGGATAAATTTGTATTGTTTGCATCAAAAATCCAGATTAAAAGTGTTGAAAAATTGGGAGGAAGTCTGAAGTGTTTTGCTTTTCCTAAGCAGGAAAAAGTACTTTATGGAGTTTTCTTGCCTTCTCTAGTCATTCCTTTTACCTGTGGAATTGATGTCTGTTCTCTGATTTGTTTTAGTTCTTCTATCTAATTAGGATTGTTTTTTTGCTCCCAAGTTCCATCGATGTCATAAACATTGCATCAGCAAAAGCTTTTAAAACATGTGTCCTCCCATCTGGCCAATATTCTGAATGAGTGGCTAGGTTGGAATGTATTAAAGCGAATGCGTGACTGATATTTATTTCATGTCATTCACATTTAAAGCTTTCTTACACATTGGTTTGAGACGTGGTGAAGAATTTCTGTTTTATTATTGGGAGGGAAATCATTCTTACTAAGATATGGTGAGGGTTTTAATAAAGGTGCCGTAAATCCCCACTATTTTTTGTTTAGTTTGCCATCAAGTATACAACTTATGGACAGTTCATTAGACCGGGCAAATAACAGGCCCTAGATATGTACAGAAGTTCGCTAAATATGTACAAAAGTTCGCTAGTATGTACATCAGTTGTAGAAACCTAAGCAAAATTGATATGATTTAAATCTCTCACTACCGAAATAACTTTTCTTTCAAGCACGCGACGAGTTTATTTACAATTGGCTAGGATTTCAATGGCAGTTGATATGAAATTACTTGAACCTGATCGCTTCAATTGAAAGGGAAAACAAACTGTAAAACAAATGTGTTCTATCTATAATCTGTACTGAAAGTAACTCATCCGATCCGCTTTTAATCTCCTAAAGAACTTCGATAAACTTAACTGGAAACTATTCCTTGTGACAGGCATAAGAGATCAAAACATACAGAAGCTTGCATTCAATTTAGGATCGAAACTAACCAATCATGAAACGAGACAGTTTCCTGAGAGGTCCGAGGTTTGCCGGTTCTCTTTGTGTTTTCACTTCAATATTATTGGTTCGCATAAAAAAGATTGACATCCTTTCCTCTCAATAAACATGTTCATTGGTTCACTTTTCTTTATTTCGATCTGGTTCAAATAATGTCTGCCGTGAGCGCATTTCAAACCTAGTTTGTTTTCATTCGCGTTTTAAGTTTTTGGATTGTAATTTGTCACTGAGCTGGTTACCTCACAGTTAACATTGAATAGTAAGATTTTGAAAAGTAAGTAGTTCAGATAATTTGGTTACAGTTTACAATTGCAATTGCCGAGGCTTAAATAATTAGCTTACATTTAGACTTACTCATACTTACTAAACTACGTGCATGTTGCTCACCTGCTTCTGTGATGTTATTGTGTGAGAGGACTAACTCGCGTAGCTGACAGTTGTTGTTTGTAATGGCGTCAGCCAAGTCCTGTGCTCCTGTGTCTGTGATGTTATTGCCTGAGAGCTTTAACGTGTGTAGCTGACAGTTGTTGTTTGTAATGGCGTCAGCCAAGAGCTGTGCTCCTGTGTCTGTGATGTTATTGCCTCTGAGGTCTAACTCGCGTAACTGACAGTTGTTGTTTGTGATGGCGTCAGCCAAGTGCTGTGCTCCTGTGTCTGTGATGTTATTGCTTGTGAGGTTTAACGTGTGTAGCTGACAGTTGTTGTTTGTAATGGCGTCAGCCAAGTGCTGTGCTCCTGTGTATGTGATGTTATTTTCCCTGAGGTATAACTTGCGTAGCTGACAGTTGTTGTTTGTGATAGCGTCAGCCAAGTGCTGTGCTCCTGTGTCTGTGATGTTATTGTTGTAGAGGTTTAACGAGTGTAGCTGACAGTTGTTGTTTGTAATGGCGTCAGCCAAGTCCTGTGCACCTGTGTCTGTGATGTTATTGTTTGTGAGGTCTAACGTGCGTAGCTGACAGTTGTTGTTTGTGATGGCGTCAGCTAAATACTTTGCTCCTTCATCTTTCAATTGATTTCTTGTGAGGTCTAACCAGCTCAGTTGAGATTTCCTACATTTTAACAATTTACAAATCTCAAAACAACCTAGAGGACCCAGGTTATTGAAACTCAATCGTAGATGTGAAATTTGTTGAACATCCATAATTACATTTACCAACGAAGAACAATCAACAGCTGTGAGGTGACTTGAAATAAAATGTAAACCATTAAAGTTAATTTGTTGTAGTTTTCTCTGAACTATCGATTGCATTCTATCACTTTCGTTAAAACATTTGAACAATGTCAGTGCTAAATTTCGTTTACCTTCAGTCGGCCACATGGTTACTTCCCTTGGCGTTTCACTCACTGACAACAGTTCGTGGACTGTTGTCTTTTCAGTTTCCTCAGGAAGAAGGTCTGTGATAATTTCGCTCGGTAGGTTTTCTTTATCGTTCATTAGTCCTGCTAGGAACTGGAAAACCAGTTGCCATTTTCCATCCTTGATGTTTTGGGAAACAAATTCCGTCAGTTCACTTTCTGTCATTGTATTAACTAGGTGCCTCGCAGCGAAAAACTCCTGCATTGTTAAGTGAATGAAGCAGAATTGTGGTTTGTATTCAAACGCATCAGTTTGACGGTCGGGTAAGCGATGGAAGAGAGCGCTGTCCTCCATTCCAGTTACCTCGTTTCCTTCAAGGACCAACTTCCCTTCTTTAATTCCTTCATAGGCCACTCTTCCTAGTGTCTCGAATTTGTTTTCCACTTCAGTTGGCAGTTTATCAGAAAGAAGGCGCTGGCGAGTGAAGCGTTTATCGCGAAATTCTTTCGTGTGTTTGAAATAAAACACTCTCAATGCAATCTTGTAAATCTTTGTTAATTTGGAAGGGAGGGTATCGCTAGCGGAACTTTCGAACTGCGATATCTGTGACAGACTTGAGCAAATAATGAAGCTGTTCACAGGGATATAACAGAGGGAAAGTAAGTTCATGTTGCTGCTGATGTGTCGCCATAGTTTTTCGCCTGCTTGTTCGTCATTTACAGCGAATTTGTAAACATATTCTTTAATTTGCTCGGTTGAAAACCCTAGGATTTCTAAGGTTTTGTCGAACTTAAGATCTTCGATGCCTTCCAAAGCCGTAGGTCTCGTAGTCGTCACAACCGACGCATCTTTGAGGAGTTCCTCGGTCACGAGCAACTGATAAAGGATTTCGAGCGACATCTTTTCTTCGATGCTGGGAAGGGGAGGCGCCAGGACGGCCATGTTCGCGCCGTGTTTAAATTCGTCAAATCCATCAAAAAGTATAAGGACATTCTCAGGGTGCTGCAGGATGTGCTTCCAGACTTCATCGTCCAGGTGATTTGAGGGAGAATGTTCTGACATTATCAGTAGTTCTCTGAGGCTAAGGTGGTTTTCCGAATCAAATCTCCTGAATTTCACCAAGAAAGCAGCATCAAAATGGATTTTGGATGTTGCGTTAAAAACTCTATTAGATGCCCAGTCTCTAAGAATTTTGGTACAACATAATGTTTTGCCGATTCCAGGACGACCAACAACAAGGACTTTCTTGTTTTCATCATTTAAGAGGTCATTCAGGCTTTTCGGTTGTGATTCTTCGTTGCGCGACTTTGGATAAACTTTGAGTTGTTCTTGTCTGTCTGTAGTAAAGGGGTACTTAGCCCTGTCGGGAATGACCATCAGGTTTGTGTAAATCTGATCCAGAGTCAAATGTTTGGCAGCTGTTTGTTCCCCTGGGGGACCTGAAAACGGTGATCGGAGTGCGGCGAGATAATGGGTGTCATTTTTAATCTTTTTCTTTGTTTCTGCAATGAATATTTGAAGCTGTTCAGAGTTCTCATTTCTGTTCCTTCCATCTGGCTGCTGTGGTTCTTGACTCGACTCGACAACAGGATCTCGTGGAGGCTCTTCGCACAACTTGACTTGGTTAGGACAGTGTTCAGGCTCTTTTAGCGGAGGTGGGTTTGTTGCTGTTTGTTCCCCGGGAGGGCCTGAAAACTGTGATCGGAGTTCGGCTAGAGAATCGGTGTCTTTCTTAATTTTTTTCTTTGTTTTGGTGATGAATATTTGAAGCTGTTCAGAGTGCTCATTTCCGCTTCCTCCGTCTGGCTGTTGTAGTTCTCGATACGACTCCATTTGGACTGGAAGTTGAAGTAGGACAACAGGATCTTGTAGGGGCTCTTGGTACAACCTGACTTGGGTAAGACGGTGTTCACGCTCTCTTAGCGGATGTGGAATAAATTCATGTTCTCTTCTTTCTTCTTGCCTTTGAAGTTCCTGAAGCGACTTGTCGTCGGTGGGTTTTATATGGGTGTTTAGAAACTCTGAGTCTTGCATGAATCTCCTTTCTTTCCATGCTCGTAACAAAATGTAGACTGTTTCAATCAGAATGCCAGCGACAAAAGTTCCATTCACTATAAGAACAGCATACATCCAGAAGGTTTTCTTTTCCGCGCGTCGATTGTAACATTCGTGAGTATTGTTTGGGGTGGCGTTAGATGAATTCCTTGGCTGATTGGTTTCATAGTTAAAATAACAGTCAAACTTTGAGGAAAATTGTAAAGGATAAAGCCACTGAGTTTGTAGGACTATGAAGAGAATTCCTAAAACAAGTCTTGTGGATAGTTGAAAACAATAAGCGATGAAAAGTTTGTGTCGTCCGCGGTTTCTTTCTGGCCCTCTTGAGTTCCCTTGGTCGTGCGACATTCCGGTCTCGGGGTCTCCGTTACGGTTACTGGAGGACAAATGATCGACTGTATGTCTCACTGATTGGGAGTACATAGCACATACGATTCCAATAAGGCCGAAATTGATGATCACGAAGCCATATATAGGAACGCCGTGATTGTTGTACTGTTTCTCGTACTTCTCGAAACATTTTCCACGGACGAGGTCGGTGTATTCGCTCCTCGCTCCACCACAGCGGAAATCAAATCTTTCTTCACTGTTCTCCACTTCAGCAAAAATGCCAAAGAAGACTGCGCTGATCATGAACCAAATTAAAACTGCGGCATAGCTAATTTTGTTGAAGGTTTTTGGCGCAATTAGTTCTTTGAGATGATCCATCGTTTCAATGCTGTTGCATTCACGCTGTTTCGATGAAATGAAAAACGCTTTATAA